TATTTATATGCTTTTCTTTTAATCATTAGTATTATATAAATAGCTGTTAAAATGCCATTTTTAGTTTGGGCATCTACAATATAAACATTTAGCATTAAAGCTAAACTACTATGTACTCCAAGTCCATCAGCTCTTCTGTCACTGTATATGGAATTGATGGATTACTGGACTACTGACAGTCTGACAGGCTGACTTGATCACTATATAAAAATCATTTAAATGCAACAGTGAAATTTGAACTCGTATCTCACTTTAATAAATTCCAAGAATCATAATATGGCGAGATCTAAGCTAGAAAATTTAGCAAGAAGAGCAACACAGCCTTGAATAATGCTGCTTGAAATCATATTAAACTGAAATAAAAACCCGCCAGCTGTTGCAGAGCGGGTCCGTTGCGGTCCGCGCGGGTCCGCTGCGGCCCGCCAAAATTTTTTTAGTCTACAAAATTTTTGGTCCGGGCGGGTCCGTCCGGTCCGCATTTGAGACCCTACCCGACACTTCTGTCCAAAGCCCGATGTAACCATAGATACTACATACACACATGGATATGAAACAGGAAGTCGGTATCCAATTAACTCTTTGAAGTTCACCTGTAAACGTCATAACCAGCATAGCTCTATCCTTGGCGCTTTTCTCTCTGTCTATGTTTTCAAGAATTTTCTTGACTCACTTATTTTTGTGAAAGAAGGTATATAGGTGTTTTTGTTTTGTTCAGTAGACCTAATAAATATATTCTCATTTCATTTTGTCAACAGGCCTCATGTTTACATGACAAAATTAGAAGACCTCCATTTTTATTTGTAACCACCTTTTCTAGACTCTCGAACGGAGTTAGCTAGTAAGTCTTGGAATCATGATAGTGTATTGTTTGTTACATGGACTGAAACTATTCTCGTGTCAATGTAATGAGAAATGACTGAGATAATAGCCAAAAACTAGTTTTTTTAATATTAATTTTGTAACCACCTTTCTGAGACTTCTGCACCAGGTATGAACAAGTTACTACTTTGAGTGTATTCATTAAGGCCTCTTATATAGACTGTTTATGGTTTCATTTTTCTAGATGCTATGTTTCAAAAGTAATAATATATTTTTTGCAAGTGTTTCAAAGGGTGTGGTTTAATTTTTAGTGAGAACTGAGTAGTGAAAGAATAGGTTATTTACCAAGAAACACAAGCAGGATTTCAGTGGCATTGATGAGACATTGTTACATGATTGTAAAGCTTTATATTTATGCTACCACAGAGAACTATCAAGATAGAGATGATGTACATTACAGTATGTACTGTATGGTGATACAGTAAGTGCGGCTTATAATAATTGTTGTCAATGTTTTTATTGCTATTTTTATAGTTAAAATTTGTTGAAGGACTCATAATAATAATCAATCTATTGGGTCACTGAAGAATAGAATAATCATTATAATGATAATAATTTAAATAATAATTTTTTAGTACTTAGCACGGTGCATTCTTTCTTGTAATAGTAGATCTTCACTTTTTAGAACTAGAATATCGATTGCAACTCTTATATAGTCGTAGACCTGAGCTTTAGTAAGTAATTCAACTGGATTTCTTCACTATTTTGCTTGTGCCATGCTTATACACGTGTAGTGTAAACGTCACAATACATCACTTCCGGTGCCAAGGATCGAGCGCATCCTG